AAAAGGTAGCTTAGGAGGTTTTTAAAAAGCAGAAGGTTATAAGAAGAGCAGAGTATATGGAGAGTAAAAGAAAGGGAAAGAGGTGGGGAGAGAGTGCAAAGGAGAGAGATGATAGAGTGGGAGGGCCTGTCAAGAAAAATTTTTAAAGAAAAAAAGAAAAATTTGGGGGGTGGTTAAAAAAAGTTAGAAAGCCCAGGGGAAAATATGGTTTGGAGTAAAAATAGAGTAGGGGAGTTTGTAGATGGGGAAGGGAGGTATTTAGGTAGATGGCGAAATATTTTGAGGAACTTTTTAAAAATTAAGGGGAAAAACAGAGGCAGTAATTTCATGCCCTGGCGGGAGGATACCATCTTTCAGGAGTGAAAAAGAGAGAATGTGTGTGGGGGAGGTACTGAGGCATTACGTAAAATGAAAGGGGGTAAGCGCTGGAATGATGGGATCATGACAGAAATGTTAAAAGCAAGGGGGGATATAGTGTTGGAGTGGTTGGTACTTTTGTTTAATAAATGTATGAAAGAGGGGAAGGTACCTAGGGATTGGCGGAGAGCATGTATAGTCCCTTTATATAAAGGGAAAGGGAACAAAAGAGACTGTAAAAATTATAGAGGAATAAGTTTACTGAGTATACCAGGAAAAGTGTACGGTAGGGTTATAATTGAAAGAATTAGAGGTAAGACAGAATGTGGGATTGCGGATGAGCAAGGAGGTTTCAGAGTGGGTAGGGGATGTGTAGATCAAGTGTTTACATTGAAGCATATATGTGAACAGTATTTAGTTAAAGGTAGGGAAGTTTTTATTGCATTTATGGAAATAGAAAAGGCATATGATAGAGTGGATAGGGGAGCAATGTGGCAGATGTTGCAAGTATATGGAATAGGTGGTAAGTTATTAAATGCTGTAAAGAGTTTTTATGAGGATAGTGACGCTCAGGTTAGGGTGTGTAGAAGAGAGAGAGAATACTTCCCGGTAAAAGTAGGTCTTAGACAGGGATGTGTAATGTCACCATGGTTGTTTAATATATTTATAGATGGGGTTGTAAAGGAAGTAAATGCTAGGGTGTTCGGGAGAGGGGTGGGATTAAATTTTGGGGAATCAAATTCAAAATGGGAATTGACACAGTTACTTTTTGCTGATGATACTGTGCTTATGGGAGATTCTAAAGAAAAATTGTAAAGGTTAGTGGATGAGTTTGGGAATGTGTGTAAAGGTAGAAAGTTGAAAGTAACATAGAAAAGAGTAAGGTGATGAGGGTGTCAAATGATTTAGATAAAGAAAAATTGGATATCAAATTGGGGAGGAGGAGTATGGAAGAAGTGAATGTTTTCAGATACTTGGGAGTTGACGTGTCGGCGGATGGATTTATGAAGGATGAGGTTAATCACAGAATTGATGAGGGAAAAAGGTGAGTGGTGTGTTGAGGTATATGCGGAGTCAAAAAACGTTTCTATGGAGCAAAGAAGGGAATGTATGAAAGTATAGTAGTACCAACACTCTTATATGGGTGTGAAGCTTGGGTGGTAAATGCAGCAGCGAGGAGACGGTTGGAGGCAGTGGAGATGTCCTTTTTTAGGGCAATGGGGTGGTGTAAATATTATGCAGAAAATTCGGAGTGTGGAAATTAGGAAAAGTGTGGAGTTAATAAAAGTATTAGCCAGAGGGCAGAAGAGGGGTTGTTGAGGTGGTTTGGTCATTTAGAGAGAATGGATCAAAGTAGAATGACATGGAAAGCATATAAATCTATAGGGGAAGGAAGGCGGGTAGGGGTAGTCCTCGAAAGGGTTGGAAAGAGGGGTAAAGGAGGTTTTGTGGCAAGGGGCTTGGACTTCCAGCAAGCGTGCGTGAGCGTGTTAGATAGGAGTGAATGGAGATGAATGGTACTTGGGACCCGACGATCTGTTGGAGTGTGAGCAGGGTAATATTTAGTGAAGGGATTCAGGGAAACCGGTTATTTTCATATAGTCGGACTTGAGTCCTGGAAATGGGAAGTACAATGCCTGCACTTTAAAGGAGGGGTTTGGGATATTGGCAGTTTGGAGGGATATGTTGTGTATCTTTATATGTGTATGCTTCTAAACTGTTGTATTCTGAGCACCTCTGCAAAAACAGTGATAATGTGCGAGTGTGGTGAAAGTGTTGAATGATGATGAAAGTATTTTCTTTTTGGGGATTTTCTTTCTTTTTTGGGTCACCCTGCCTCGGTGGGAGACGGCCGACTTGTTGAAAAAAAAAAGAAAACTACTACAACTATACTCTTCACCCTTACTGATCTCTTATCAGGCATATATATTACACCTTTAGCACATCCTACCCTGCAGTGCTGTATGACCCTTAGAGGTTTAGCATTTGGTCATGAAAATAATTATAATGTATCATTTTATATTAGGTATTCTACACTGCTCCTGATCTTAATATACAGCCTCTCCTCACTTAATGACAGAGTTCTGCTCCTAGGACCACGTTAGTAAACTAATTTGTCGCTAAGAAAGGAGAATAGTACAATGGCAGTGGGTTTGTGTCAACCATTCTTGACATTGTTTTAATGTCACCTTTGCACTATTTATAACATTTTTAGTATATTTTAAAATGTTTATATAGTAGTGTACTGTACAGGAAGGCCCCACTTATACAGCTGGTTAGGTTCCAGGCTACTGCCGTAAAGTGGAACACCCTTTTTTTCCACTTACAAATGCATACAAACACTAGATAACAAGTTTACACTAACATACATTAAGTTAGCAATAGAACCAGGCATCAAAAAACAATAAAAAAGTACAATACACACATAGTGCACTCATTACTTACCTTAAAATATTTATAGTCTTAATCTAGGGTGAGACAAGTAGTATTTATTGTAAGAAATCGTGTGGTATGTATAGTAATAGCCAGGCTACCTTACCAGGCCACCCCACCCACACATACTATTCTATGATATTTAAGCATCCCAGAGCGATAAAATGTATATACAGTTCACTCATTACTTACCTTAAAATATAGGGTGAGATGAGTAGTATTTATTGTAAAAAATCAAGTGTGGTATGTATGGTAGTCAGCCGGGCTACCATACCAGGCCAACCCACCTACACATAGTATTCTATTACATTTAAGCATCCCAGAGTGATAAAATGTATATACAGTTCACTCATTACTTACCTTAAAATATTTGTAGTGTTAATGTAGGGTCAGGAGTAAGTAAATGAGATAAAATGAATAAATGAGAGAGAGAAAGAATGAGTGCATGAGAGAGGACAGGCGCAGAGTTATGTAAACAAACCAGGCGAAGGTAAGTTTTGTTTAGAAAGACACGTAAGCAAACACTATAACATATTTATTAGAAACGTTTTCTAATAAATATGTTATAGTGTTTGCTTACGTGTCTTTCTAAACCAACTTGTCGGTATTTATTACCAAGGTTTATACCGTAAGTTTTGTAAACGAAGTGTACACGTCTGGTTTGTGTACAAGTTACATTGTGTACAGGTTGTCTCTACATTGATACGGTAGAATAAATAAAGAAGAACACTCCCATTCTCATGTAACATCATTTTGAGAAGAAATGATTCTCTGAGTGAAGGCAATGGAAATAAGTCACTCTGACTTTTTTGGGTTATCCTAGGTTCTCTACACATATGTTGTTATGTATGATAATCTATGTAACTGTATTTGTGTATACCTGAATAAACTTACATACATACGAAAGGAATAATTTTCTACAGTTACCCCCAATAACACATTTTCTCTTATGTTAGATTAGAGAAAATGTTATTCTTGGCATCACTTGTACAAGTTATCTGGCTACCACATCTCATATTTATGTTTATTTATTCTATTGTAGGGTGTGTTTATCATCTTTTTATGTTATGTATCATGTTTATTATATAATTTTGAAAAAAATATCATGGATGGATTAATGAAAATTTGTATATTAACGTAATATACAACATTTAATGAGACTCGGTGATTATTATTATTATTATTAGCATTTCTAATATGGCGTCACTTGTGCAAGTCGTCTGCTACCACATCTCATATTTATGTTTATTTATTCTATTGTGGGGTGTATTTATCATCTTTTTATGTTATGTATCGTGTTTATTATATAATTTTGAAAAAAATATCATAGATGGATTAATGAAAATGTGTATTTAACGTAATATACGACATTTAAATGAGACTCGATGATTATTATTATCATTACTAATATGACGTCTGGAGACATAAGACACTCTTACTGACTTTAATGTGTACCTGCACGCCAGCACAGTATGTAAGTTTATTTAAGTACAGGTATACATAAGTGTATAATTATCAGAGTATATATAAAATATGAAATAACTTTTAAAAACATTTGAAATTTTGGAGTTTCCAGACAAAATGGAGAGACTTAGTGCTTACTGAGCTCACGAAGAATGTAAACAAACAAGGTGGGGCGCGGTGACCGTATTAGAAAGTCAGGGTGGGGGAGCCGTATAGCGAGTTTTGGTCATAATTTGAAATGACCGTATTAGCGGAACGCCGTAAAGTGAAACGCCGTAAAGCGGGGCCCTGCTGTATATTGTAATAAAGAGAATACAGGAAATCAGCTCTAATATCCATTATTTAGGTATGCATACTGGTCAGAGAGCCTGTTGTAAGTCCGAGTCATCGGTAAATGAGTACGTCGCTAAGTGAGGAGGGGTTGTATTTAGTTTTTGCCTTCTTGCTGGTTGCTCTCTTTTCTGCTCTTGACCTCCTATATCTTTTCTATTCATTCTTGATTTTTTATCAAAACTTCTTTGCACTGCCAGTTGAGCTACGATTTCTCTACTTCGTGTTTGTTTCTCTCTGCAGGTAAACTCTGATCTTCCCAATTGCTGTTGAAGACTCATACCATAAGGATGTCAGTGGGAATTATATACATGTACAGCATTTTAAATGCTGGTGTACATTACACACAAGCACACCATCTACAACTAAAATCCTGAAAATGGGAAGGAAAAAAAAAAAAAAAAAAAGAGACTCACTTGTACTGTCCACCAGAATCACAGAGGTAGAGTTCATCGGTGGTAATGTGACGGTCAGTTTCAGGAGATGGTGTGTAGTGAATCACAGCAGCATTGGGTCCCACTGATGAAATTGTTGAGAAACTCAATCCAGCAAAGTATTCCAACTCGCTGTGATAGAGAAGAGAAAATATACATATTTCTGCTTATACAATTCACAGTTATAAAAATATGTCCAGCAAAAGTGACTAAAATGCAAATAGAATGTGATGAAAAGATGTTGCCTTGACCAACACAGGAAATTAACTCATCACTAACATATAACATAAAATGATAAAATGGTCATAAATACTACAAAGAAAAAGCTCACAAGATGAAATGACCCAAGCTTGTTAACTACATAAGTGCAGCAAAGGAGTTGCCACTAAGGTCATGAACACAGTTACACAAAATTCAAAAGAGTTTCAGCAATTCCAGATCATTTTCATCCATGAAGCACAAAGATAAACTAAAATTAATATTTATAGAAGTGCAACATCCCCACCCATCATTCAGAGTGCAGGCACTTTACCTTCCACCTCCAGAACTCATGTCCAGCTAATCATTTTTCCTGAAACCCTTTATGAATGTTACCTTGCTTAAACTCCAACAGCACATAAAATCCCAAACATTACTTGCCTTTATTTCACTGATTGATGACCAAGCCCCTGTCCTTCAAAACCAGTTTCACCCATTCTAACACTTTCTGGAACATCCTCTACCCCTACTTCTGTCCACCCCAGATTTACATACACTCTTAATAAGTCTATTCTCCTCCATTCATTCTAAATAACCAGACTACCCCAAAATTCCTCCTTTGCTCACTGAACTGCACTTTATATACCACTACACCACCTTCCAATTTCTAAGTTTCTTATACTCTGGAAAAAATGCACATCACACACAGATTTCAAACATATCTCCACTACCTCAGCCTTGCAACATTTAACCCTTAAACTGTCCAAATGTAGATCTACATTCATGTGCATAGTGCTCCGACCTTGATTTTCCCCAAGCATGTAAAAGAAACGTAGATCTACATTCGGAGCCCCCTGCATGTGAATGTAGATCTACGTTTGGACAGTTTAAGGGTTAAAGACCATGCCTTACTCTCACAAAGTGTTGATACCACTTTATATGACAAACTTTTTCCTCTCCAATCCAATCCAAAATATCTACATACGGAGAATAGGATAGCAGATGAACAAGGAGGCTTTAGGAAAGGTAGGGGGTGTGTGGACCAGGTGTTTACAGTGAAACATATAAGTGAACAGTATTTAGATAAGGCTAAAGAGGTCTTTGCGGCATTTATGGATTTGGAAAAGGCGTATGACAGGGAAGCAATGTGGCAGATGTTGCAGGTGTATGGTGTAGGAGGTAGGTTACTGAAAGCAGTGAAGAGTTTTTACGAGGATAGTGAGGCTCAAGTTAGAGTACATAGGAAAGAGGGAAATTATTTCCCAGTAAAAGTAGGCCTTAGACAGGGATGTGTGATGTCACCGTGGTTGTTTAATATATTTTAGATGGGGTTGTAAGAGAAGTAAATGCGAGGGTCTTGGCAAGAGGCGTGGATTAAAAGATAAAGAATCACACATAAAGTGGGAGTTGTCACAGTTGCTCTTTGCTGATGACACTGTGCTCTTGGGAGATTCTGAAGAGAAGTTGCAGAGATTGGTGGATGAATTTGGGTAGGGTGTGCAAAAGAAGAAAATTGAAAGTGAATACAGGAAAGAGTAAGGTTATGAGGATAACAAAAAGATAGTGATGAAAGATTGGATATCAGATTGGAGGGAGAGAGTATGGAGGAGGTGAATGTATTCAGATATTTGGGAGTGGACGTGTCAGCGGATGGTTCTATGAAAGATGAGGTGAATCATAGAATTGATGAGGGGAAAAGGGTGAGTGGTGCACTTAGGAGTCTGTGGAGACAAAAAAGGGGAATGTATGAGAGTATAGTTTTTACCAACGCTCTTATAGGGGTGTAAAGGGCATGGGTGATGAATGTTGCAGCGAGGAGAAGGCTGGAGGCAGTGGAAAATTTCATGTCTGAGGGGAATGTGTGGTGTGAATATAATGCAGAGAATTCGTAGTTTTGGGAAATTAGGAGGAGGTGCGGATTACCAAAACTGTTGTCCAGAGGGCTGAGGAAGGGTTGTTGAGGTGGTTCGGACATGTAGAGAGAATGGGAGTGAAACAGAATGACTTCAAGAGTGTATCAGTCTGTAGTGGAAGGAAGGGGGGTAGGGGTCGGCCTAGGAAAGGTTTGGGGGGAGGGGGTAAAGGAGGTTTTTTTGTGCGAGGGCTTGGACTTTCCAGCAGGCATGCGTGAGCGTGTTTGATAGGAGTGAATGGAGACAAATGGTTTTTAAAAACTTGACGTTTCTGTTGGAGTGTGAGCAAAGTAACATTTATGAAGGGGTTCAGGGAAACCGGGAGGCCGGACTTGAGCCCTGGAGATGGGAAGTACAGTGCCCGCACTCTGAAGGGGGTGTTAATGTTGTAGTTTAAAAACTGTAGTGTTTAAAACACCCTTCTGACAAACAGTGATGGAGTGAATGATGGTGAAAGTTTTCTTTTTCGGGCCACCCTGCCTTGGTGGGAATCGGCCAGTGTGATAATAAAATAAAATATATTTACTTCCTCTCTCTAATCTGATATCAAATCTTTGTTGCCTAAATTTATTATTCCTACTCTCATCACCTAACTCTGTTCAATGTTCACTTTTAAAAATTCCCACAATCCTTTCCAAACTCTTCCACTAAACTTTGCAATTTCTATCCAGAATCTCCCAAAAGCACTGTGGGCATCGGCTAAGAGCAACTCCCATTTCAGAGATAATTCATTATCTTCTAACATTTCAACTCTTAACATTCTAGCAGTCGCTCTTTTAACATATGCATCTACAAATGTAGTAAACCAGTCAAAATGGGAGAGGGGGGGGGGAACCTTGGTAACACAGTCCAAAGCAACAATATAAAAAAAGTGACAGAATAAAAGATTATTATTATTATTAGTCTTTCTTTCAACACACCGACAGCGTCCCACGAAGGCAGGGTGGCCCAAAAGGAAAAACAACACACATGGCTTACGGAGGAAGAATTCTGTTCCACTTCCCCATGGAGATAAGAGGAAATAAACAAGAACAAGAATAGTAAGAAAATAAGAAGAAAAACCCAGAGGGGTGTGTATATATATGCTTGTACATACATGTAAGTAGAAGTAAGTAGTAACAAGACGTACCAGAAATCTTGCATGTTTCTTCTTCTTTCAACAAATCAGCCATTTCCCACCAAGGCAGGGTGGCCCAAAAAAAAAAAAAAAAAATTCTTTTTAATTTTTAGTAATGTATACAGGAGAAGGGGTTACTGACCCCTTGCTCCCAGCATTTTAGTACTCTTACGACATGCATGGCTTACAGAGGAAGAATTCTGTTCCACTTTCCCATGGAGATAAGAGGAAATAAGAACTAGTAAGAAAATAGAAGACAACCCAGAGGGGTGTGTATATACAGTGGGCCCTTGACCAACGATATTAATCTGTTCCAGAGCTTGTCCTTAGCCGAATTTATTGTTAGACGAATTAATTTTCCCCATAAGAATAATGGAAATCCATTACAGTGGGACCCCCGGTTCCCGATGTTTACCGGTTATCCGATAAATTCGGTTGCCAATGCATTGATCGAAAAAATTTTGCCTCGCTTCCCGATACAAAACCCGGTATGCGATACGATTCGTACGAGACGTGTTCACTTGTGGCCTGAACTTCCCCATGTGTACCAGTGTTTACAAGCCAGCCAGTGTGCGCGCATCTAAGGATACATTCGGTACATTCCATATTATCCATATTATCACTGTTTTTGGTGCTTGTTTCTGCAATATAAGTCACCATGGGACCCAAGAAAGCTCCTAGTGCCAACCCTTCGAGACCAAGGGTGCTAATGACTGTTGAAATGAAGAAAGAGATAATTGCAAAGTACGAAAGTGAAGTGTGTGTGTCGGAACTGGTCAGGTTGTATAGTAAACCCCAATCAACCATCTCTACTATAGTGTACAGGAAAATGGCAATCAAATAAGCTGTTCTTGCAAAAGGTGCAACTGTGATTACGAAACAGCGACTGCAAGTGTTAGAAAATGTTGAGAGACTGTTATTGGTGTGAATAAATGAAAAACAGATAGCAGGAGATAGCATCTCTCAAGCGATCATTTGTGAAAAGGGTGATGAAAATCACCCTCACACAGCTATTGCAAGCCATGCTGGTGACTATTACACTGACAATGCTGTGTGAAACACTTTAGGAAAGTCATAAAGGAACGAGAGGTACAGGCCTCTATGGACAGATATGTTGTGCGACAGAAGTCAGTGACTCTCCAAGCCTGGTCCAGGCCTTAACAGAAGAAGGAAGTAACCCCAGAAAAGGACATGCTACCTCAAGTCCTACTGGAAGGGGAATGCCCTTCTATAACACTCAGACCATCCACACACCCCCTCCTCCCATCCCATCAATCATCACCAGATCTCAATAAAAGGTAAGTGTCATATAACTGTGCATTCTTCATCAGTTTTGTGTGTATTAAACATAAATTTCATTGGTAAAAAATGTCTTTTTTCATACTTTTTGGGTGTCCTTTGCACGATTAAGTTGATTTTCCAATTATATCTTATGGGGAAATTGATTCCTCTCCGATAATTTCGTTTACGATGAGCTCTCAGGAACGGAATAATATCGTGAACCGGGGTTCCACTGTAATCCTTTTCCAGACATAAAAAAGTATTAAAAAAAATATAATATTTTTTATCCAGAAATATATCTTTCCCTACAAAGAAAAAACAATGAAAGACATGCACAATAACTACATAAATGCTAAAAATGAACCTATCTTTATTGAAAGTTATTGAATGAGTGATGAGACAAAACGGATTTTCTTGAACAATCTGAGATTTTCAGATTGATACAGATTAAAGGCTTCACTTCAGCCAATCCCCCTAGCCTTACAACAAAACATGAGAGTGTAGTCCCTGTCTTTCATACTCTTGTTGTCCTGGGAGTGCCTTTTCCTCCTGATTAAAGTAGGTCCTGTTTGGCATTTCTTCCAGAACAAGGCCTGTGTCGTCACGAATTGAACACTTTTTGG